TTTTTTTTTTTTTTTTTCTTAAAGGTCTCCAAATCGTGACTGGTACCAGGCACTACAACTTACTCCTAACATCGCACTGTCTGCCTCCGGCATTAGTAGATGATGCTTGTATCCGCTGGTAGGAACCAGGGGGGGGGGAGAACATGTTAATTACTAAAAAAATTACAATTGATGGATAACCAGCTGACGAACCTGGAGCCGCTTGAGGATGTGTGTGTTATCGCGGGGGTTTACATACGCCACCAGACAGCCGATCGATGGTGTATTCCTAATTATAAGTAAATGTGTGCCAGCAAGAAGAGAAGAGGTGCAGAGTGCAACGAGGATTTATCAAATACTTGAACAAGGAGATAGAGATTGCGTTATATAAATACTGAGTGAGTATAAAAGGGTTACCTATGGCAAGAGCAACTATAATGTGTGATAGAGAAAGAAGAGAAAAAGTAGAGCTAAATAGATAAGTATATAGATAATGAAACGACCCTATAGAGCAATTAAAAAAGTATTTACCGTTAAATGTGATCTACCCACCTGTAGCTCCGAAGAAGATGGCGAAACTCGGAGATCGAGGATCGATGGTGGTGGGAATGGGAAATTATTAGATTTACTCGGATAAGTAACCGAACTTGGCGACTCGAGGGACAGTGGCGGTGGCGATATTGGAAATTGGATCGGAGAAACAGGTGCAACCTGCTGACACTTCTCAACATGACGCCGTCGATCGATGCTCGGATGGAATGCAGATGACGGTGGTTGTGGTGGCTGTGATGTGGAAGATGGTGGAACAACGTGCGGACGAGCAAACTTGCTGGGGTGGTGGTGGTGGTGTTGGTGTTGGTGTTGGTGGTGGTGGTAGTGGTGCTGAGAAGCTGGTATCGTCTTCAGCCGTGACGGGATCGTACCCTCGGTGACGCGTTTATTTAGCTGCAGCCGTTTCTGCTTCCTCCTGTTCGCTATACTGGCGCCACCCGCAGCTGCGTACATTGCTTCGCGCCCGATTTATACTCTTCCCCGGTTTAACGCCTTCGGGCCAGGCGTTCTTTCTGTTACGAGCTTAGATCCCTTTGCATCGTCTTCCTGTCTTTTTCGTCTGTAAACGCAAGAAACATGACGGACATCCGCCCGCTATTGGCGGCCGTCATATACTAATTCTACCATTAATAGCGCGAAGCGCCTGAAAAGCGTTTTTATTTACAGCGATATTTGCGTATGCATACTGTAAACAATTGAACTTCGTTACGGAGGGCAGAATTTGTGATTTTTTCTTTTATGACATCTGGACTGTCTTGCGTAATAATTTATCAACTAATGATTTTAATAAGTTACAAAATTAGTAATGTTAGTAAGTACAAAACTAGTAATGTTGATAAGTTAGAAGTAAGACAATGGTTTTATTATTTTTCGTTAAATAAAATTACATAACTTTGTAATTTGTAATATCGCATTCGTTTTGTTACCAAATCTATTACTTCTGCGCAACATATTTTTAATACTAAAAATTTGTAACTCGTTTTGAGAATAGGTCACAAATTCGATGTGCTTCAAAACAAAGTTCAATATATTAAAAGCGAATAATAATATGCAAGGACGACATATTTACTAAATACTATTTCTTTTTTAATATAATTTAGAAAGTTACAATTAGTGTCAACCTATATATAGCTGTCAATAAGCTGATTGATTAGTGACATTAAATCTCTGTACAAGATTTTGTATAAAGTTGTTAGCTAATTACTTATGAAACGAGATAGATTTGAATAATAAGGAAACTAATTTAATATAATATACGTAATTACATTGATTTTATATTTTACACGGTTCTTTTACACAAGAAAAGTACACGATAGAAATATTAATTACTAAATTCTCTATTGCTATGTCAGTAATTAGTAAAAGATAATGACATGCGACGTATACACATAAACACATACACAAATAAGAAATAAGAGCAGGAATCATTAACGAAGATGGCGGAATGTAAGAAAGAATTTACCGTGATAATTTTTTACATTAAAAAATTACACTCTAAAAAGAGAAAAAATATAAAAGATACTTATTAGACGCGAATAAAAATATAATACGATCATTAAGTATGTACAAAACTAAAAATCTTTTGAAAAAATACCAGAACTATCTACTTTTAACTTGATAAAAATTTATGAACATATATATAACTGAAATATAAGAAAAGATGATTATCAATTTACATTAAAAAAAAAAAAACTCACAAACATCTTGTAATTTGTACAAAAATTATATTACAATAATCAACTATATTAGTTCGATCGAAATATTTTTGTACAATATTTTCATTTACACAGTTTTCGATCTTCACCTCTAAGCTTTGAAAATTTTCTCAAAGTGAACATTACGAGAATACTTCTGTATTGGCACCTTTCCGTTTCGCTCCTTGACCCGTCAATGGGTCAAGTGTTTCCGACACAAATGTAACAAATCGAAAAACCCTCTTCTTCCTCATTGTTTTTTATCGTGACACGTTCTAGTTATCCCTTCTTTGTATCCCACTCTTTTCTATTTCCCTCTTTTTTTCTTTTTTTTTTTGTCTCCTGTCTTCCCTATCTTATTTCGTCACGTTCATTTTCAACGCCTTTCCGCTATCTATCTCTGTCTCGAGCTTCTTACTTGTTCCATCTTGTTCAATCCTCTTTCTCTGTTTTACGAGCTATTTTCGTTATAAATGGTGAGCGTTTACATAATAATATAATATAAAAGACGATATAAGCGGAGGAAACGCAAACAAATCGGATGCGCACGCTAAATCTTACGATTAATGTACTCAGCATGAAACAATACTAATTGCAACGGACAGTATCGCATGCTGAACATCGACTAAGCACCGGACAGGGCCGCGAATAATGAATTCCTGTGAAAAAGCAAGCAAGCAAACGTAATTACCGCTATGTAATTATTTATATGATAAGGAACGAATGTATGTACATTACATGCTATGATATACGTGCGTGCGTGAAACAAGTAAAAAGAAGGCTACACACAAAGCTAAGTAAAAACGTGAAGAATCCCAAAAGAAAAAAAATATCAAAGGACCTCAATGAGATACGAACTCATACGATCCTACTTAGTTCCTAAAAAGAAAGAATACATATATGAAGCGCGTAAAAAAAATAAAAGGCTGGCTGGTGGCCGATGGGC